CACTCTGATCTGGATTCTTTCAATCATTTTGGTAAGTTTTACAGTAAGACCATGATGCCATAATGGTGCAGCATATTCTAACACTGGGCGGACATAGCTCTTGTAAATTTCAACTAATTCATCTTGGCTAAAACCGGCACGTTTTAGTGACCAAAGAATAAATAGTTTACGATTCCCAACAAATTCACAATATTTTATAATAATACAGTTTAACTTGAGAATCCAAAAATGGCATTGGAAAATTGATTGACTTTAATTAATGGAAAACACAACAATTTGGCATATAAAATAAGATCAACATAGAAATTATTCAAGTTAAGCAAAGTCGACTTAGGCAGGTTTAACTGTATACAATTTTCCATTGAAATAAAAGCCATAAAATATGCCTAGTTTATTATTCAAATGTACCATAGAATCTTCTCTTCTTCTTTGGGCCAATATGGCTTATTCAAGTCATGGGCCTTACAACGGTGCGTCGCCAGTTTGCCCATTTATAATCATCATACGCGAGTGTGTTTAAATTATAAAGTAACTGCACATACAGTACTTGCAATTTCATAATACAGTAATTATGATTTATTCTCCAATACAATATTAATAAAACTGGACTGATAGTTTTGAAAGACAAGAATTGAGCTTTGAGGCCTGTATTGTCCTGATTACCTCTGGTTCTGTTTAGACTAAGTGGAGTTCTTTTGAGAGCATTCAACTGTTGGAGAGGTTCTGTCACCATTAGTTCTTCAGCTTGATTATTCAGATCAACTACATTCATCGAGCGTTGTAGAAACATTGAAAACGAATTCTAATACATTTCAAAGATAAAGAAAAGGGGCATGTTGTTCCTATCATAATATTTTTTATCTTTTATGTATTACAGTACTGTACTTATTTTTTTAAGATTCAAATATTTCTTCTGTATCACAGTGACATAGATACACCAGTTTAAGATCATAAACATACATTTTCACAAACTACTGTATATACATTTTGCAACTTACTGAATAGTTTCATGATTACTACATCTTAATACTTATTAGTGATATGGCACATGTTATCTGAACCCTAAATAGCCTAACAGTGGTTGTCTGGAACAAGAACAAAATTTCTATGGGGAAATGCATGATGCCTCCGACCAGTGGTCGAACACATATGCAGCACTGCTAAGCCCCCTCTTAAAAAGAAAAATAAAATCTCAATATAACCCAGAGATCAAACATAATTGTTGAAACATTTTGTGCAAGTAAAGTTACAAGATTGTTAAAGTTTTATTGTTGAAAAATCAATGTTTTGAAGACCAATGAATTATTAACATACATTTCGTTCCATGGTTTTAATTGGTGACTTTGAACTGGATACTGGGGTATTCATCATCAGTGAAGACTGATCTTTTATTTTTTTTGCCGAGGACCTTGTTCTGGATGCTGGGGTCCTTGCGGTGGGGGTCCTGACACTCCTTCTGGGTGTCCTAAAGGCATACGGTGAGGCTGTTCTGTCTTGTGAGGTGTCTTGAAGACCGTGTGGTCGTTCACCACACACACTACCATTACTGACATTAGCAGGCGAGGTGATCAAGCTTCTCTGCATCACTTTTCGCAATGGAGTTCCACCTTTTTCAAAAATTAATTAAAATGTTATAATGTGGTAGGTGGTAAGATTAGCAATAGTACTGTAGTAGGTATTAGCATGGAGGAAATATATTTCCTCCATGGTATTAGTAACACAGAAATGCGAAAAACCAGAAACTTGATTAATTTCATACTATCTCAGTTGGGCTAATAACTTTAAAAAAATTTACATTTTGTATCAACTACTTTATAAAGTTATAAGTTTTGATAAAATAAGATAACATCAAAATAATTTTAAAATAATTATGTTACTTTACACTTACATTACTTGGGTCAGAGTCAATGCCTCAGTGGTGCATGGTAGTGGAGCCTGAGGCACAGTATACCACTTTATGTTCAATATCTGTGCGTACATGGCTAATATCATTTTTTCAGTCATATTTTGACTTCTTGTGGAGGGGTGCCATGAAGTGTTTTCTCTTAAACGGATACCGGCGCATTGTAAATTTTCGTTATTATTATTATTACTTAATCTTTGTACATTGTTTGCACTTCCTCAAAATTTTACACAGACAGACAGTTATATTTAATACATACCCTGGCAATGTGGTTGTTTGTTGACTTTCATTGGGCTCTCTACCTTAAAAAACCCTCCTTCAAATACTACTTTCTCCTCCTCCTGTTGTTTCTGCTTCTTTTTCATTGCTGCTTTGATTGCGGCAAGCCTGTGCTTGGCCGCTTCTGATGCAGCTGTGGTACATTTTGCAACACCAACTTTTTTTTTCTAGAAAATAACAGTAAACTTTAGTCAAATGTAGCATCAATTAAAATTGATCAATATATTATATTATTTTAATGCTACATTCTTCAACGTTCAGATTGCATGTTGTAGAAATATTTAATATCAAAATAAATAAATAGATAAACAGATAGCTATATAGGTATTATGTGGTATAAATTTAAAAACCAAAAAATGAGCAGTAAATTTTGCTGCATACACTACGAGCTTGGTCACAGTACTGTAGTTAGAAACAGATGTATGTAATTTCAGCAATTATTACACAATTGCTGCAAATTCCTAGCTATTGTTTTTTTTAATGTATGGATAGTTTCCCGACATTCAGTCAGATTTAAAAATGCCAATTTTGTGTTCAAAAAAGCAATTAATAAATGATTTTAAAAGAATGATAAAATAATTTTATTGGCTCAAAATAATATTAATTGGCACATCACAATGTATACAACAAATATTTTAAAACTCAGCAAATACAAGCATACTTACCTTTAGAATTTTTTTTACTATTATGTTGCAAATCAAATCAATTTGCCAATATTAAGCATTTAATAAAGTGTAGTACATTCTTACCCTCTTCCCCCTGTCTCTTATACACATCTAGATGTGTATAAGAGACAGCATATACAGTATTCATTTAAGCCTGGTTTCATTAAAATCGCTACACGCTATCACCGACTCCTTTGGCAACGCTGATTGGTCAGTTGAATCAAGGAGCATCCCTGATTGTGTTGAGGACAGCTACACAGTGCAATGATTGTAGTAAAAAAAAGCGACAGTGTAGCGATTGTATGGAAATCAAGCTTCATAAGAACCAATTTGAGATGATTAATAACCATTTATTTTGTACTACACTTTACAGGATCAAAATGAACACACACAAGTTAAGAATGGATTACTATCTTTTGAGGAGATTGTGTTTGGTTTCCTAGTCAAAGACAGTAGGAGAGCAGTACACATAAGGTTTTAATTTTTTTTTTACGAGAATATATGAATAATTTACTCTTACCCAGTGAAAAAAGTATTGGCAATGTACGTTTTTAAATATTGACATATGTCTATAATGTGATCATTTGTTGCTGTATCTTAATTTTATGTAATTTAAATTTTTAAAAATATATAAAAAAAAAAGATTCACCAACCTGTATGTACACCATTTCCCAAAAACCTTGCAAATCTGTACAACTCGTCTCCTTTAAACCAGTATCGAACTCACAGTTGTCAATCAAACCATTAAATTGCTTAAACCTCTGTGCTATCAACAACTGGGCCTTACCAATCGATGTTCTGATATCACCCATAACTGAAAAGAGCCATAACTCAAACTCATGATGATGATCATTATTACCATCTGGAAACTGTCCAAAATGAGGCAAGTGGCAAACTGACTAATTAGAGAAGGTTGAGTAAAAAGAAATTGGGGGGGGGGAGCCATGACCTACAAATGGATTTGTTTTCAATTAAAGAAAACAGTTTAAAATCTAATTAAACAAGACTCCAGGTGTGCTGTACATTTACTCCTAAAATACACTGTAAATGTCCAATTTTAAGGAATAACCCTTCATTTTAAGGATTACTGTACATACTCAAGTACAGTACTGTATTTGAAAATACAAATAAGTTGAATTTCATTCCTTCCTAAAACTAAGACATTTTGTCAAGATGCCTAAAATGTCTCAGTAATGTTAAAGCAGCTCATAGTTGAACCAGTTGTGTTAAAAGTATTGTTTCAAAAACACTAGAAAACAAATTATGTTGCAAATCAAATCAATTTGCCAATATTAAGCATTTAATAAAGTGTAGTACATTCTTACCCTCTTCCCCTAACAGGCTATCTATTTGGAGTTCAGTCTCCCACTTATCACAAACTTCTTGCAACCTGTCTGTGTGACGTTTGAGTAAGGAACGAAAGTAAGCAACACTTAGTTCTGGTTTGGCTTCTAAGGATGCCCCTGAAACTGCCTCTGTAGTTTCCTCTGAAGTAACATGGACATTTTGTTTATCTTTTGATATCTCTTCCATAATAATGTCATTAGATGTAACATTGACAGAGTTGTTTTCCTGCATGCAGTTCTGCCTCTGTTGTTCTTCTGCAGGTATGTTGGGAATTGCAACTGACATTGGACACTCAACTGGCTTGGACTCTGGTATTGCCTCTGAAGGAACATGGACATTATCCTCCTCTTTAGACATCTGCTCCACTAGGATTTCATTAGAAGTTACAATTCCAGAGTTGCTTCCCTGTGTGCAGTTCTGTTTGCATTCTTTCTTTGTAGGTGTATTGATAACTTCAACTGACATTGGACGATCCTTAGGAAACTCAGTGACTGCACTCCTGTCATTATGTGAACTCCTTAACCTTGTTGTAATGCTATCAGTTAACTTAAAAACTGGAGCTATGGCATAAATAAAAATCAATAAAAAAATTACAATTCATCAAAGTTTGTATACCGTAAATTCTCAAATAAGCACCGCTCTCGAATAAGTGCCGCACCAAACATGATTTTTTTTTGTTAAGCACCACTCTCAAATAAGCACAGCGGCACTCAATAGAGAGTATACAATTATATTACCCTGTAATGAAACAGGGTTTTAAATACAATGTATACAGTATTAAAATGAATAAGTAAAATAATGAAGACAAGCATTTCTTTAGTTTACGATGATAGGCCTACTGAACTACGGGAATTTGTGTAATACTATAGGTAACATGGGAACGGGCATGGAAAGCGCCACGCCAATATTTTTTTAATAAGCGCCGCTCTCGGATAAGTGCTGCACTGAAGCCTCCGAAAATTTTATAAGCGCCACGGTGCTTATTCGAGCATTTACGGTACATCCTGTAGCCATTTTATTGTTGAGTTCCTAAAGAATGATTTTGAATGTTTACAAAAACTTATTTTTTTAAAGAATTTCCTATGTTTACCTAGAATGTTGTCTGGTGGGCCTTGCTTCACATTCCCTGGTAGGTTGTTAGGTATCATCGAAATATCCAATGCTTGTACTAGAGGTCGACTATGCTTAGCAGATAGTGGAGTAGAGCATCTGCAAGACAGGATATTTAAAAAAAATATAATAATCAGGAAGAAGGTTTTAGAGGCTGTAAATAAAATCATAAAAATGATTAATACTGTACTTCATGAAGAAAATTTCTAGCTTTACCTTTCCTTTTTCAGTTAAACTTGCTTAAGCTCACTTTGTCGAACTTATTTTGAATGCCAAATTGTTGTGTTTTCTATTAATTAACAATCTGTAAGTCGAAATATTATCTAAGTCGAACAATTTTAAAATGGCATTTTGTTTTGGACTTTTGGAGTTCAACTGTATATTAATTTTAGTGTTACTTTCAATGTAAATTTGTTTACCTTCTACTTGACTCTTCAGTGCTATTAAACTTTGAATTAGGACAGAAAAAGCTCTGGACACTGCAAGGGCTCATGGGAACAAACTGCATTGTAGATACATTACCAGGAGCACTGAATATAAAGTTCTTTGGAGCAAAAGAAGAATCTGGCAATGTATGAACCATAGAGTCTTCTACAGAAAAGAATGATTGAATATTTGAATTAAAACTTATTATCCAGCTAAAATCAGTATCTAAACAGGAAAACAGGTAATGATAACATGGTGTACTTGTCTCAAAATTCCTTAATTTAACAGATCATGACTAAAACAATTTCTACATATACAGTATGTTGGGTGCATTTTCATGTGGTACTGTATGTTGACCATAACCAACCATGTGTTGCAGAGTGTGAGGTAAAATGGTTATATTTGTAATATTTTTTTTAAGTCATCACAATAAGCATGTCAATGAGGTTAAGATAGTTTCCATTAAAACAAGGTCAGTATGTGAATTTATGATTACTGTATTTTCTTACCTGTAAGTTTCTTTGCTGCGATACGTGCAGATTGTCTGGAACCTTTTGTAGTCAAAACCCTGCATTTTGTTTGCTTCATTTGCTGCAATAATAGATAGGATTTGATTTTTTTTCTCTTTGTAGCCATTTATTCATCAAAATACTGTATTACAAAAACCATACTGTATTCTTTACAATTTTCATAATAAATAATAATAATCAATGCTTTATTTTCATTTTTGTTAAAGCCACCTTTCAATTTTGTATAAAGACATACATTATTAAACGGTACAAATACAATTGGATTTGATATTACTGCATTTTTGTTTTCTAAATTTCATTTTACTGTATTCTTTGATAATGAATGAATGATTGATTTATTTTATTTAATGTTTTAATTAAATGTTTTTTTAAGCCAATAAATAGTTTAAAAGTTGGTATATTAGTAGTTGTTGGTAATTTTTGTCAATACTGTGAAACATAGTATTTACATCCGTTGCGGGAGGGTGGGCTTACTTCAACAAATGCAATTTTTATTATTATTAATATTAATATTAGTGTCAGATTATAGTGTATTAATAAAATAAAATAATTAATTTAATAAAATAAGATTATTTAATGTGTATGCAACACCCACCGTTATGCATAAAAATTGCAAAAGCTAGAGTCAGCGGAGCAGTAGCCTTGACAATGAAGTTTGCTCCTAAACACAAGAATCAGTGTTTAGTAACTGTAGTAATATGTTGTACATAATTTAACTGTTTCAACACCTAGATGTTTTGGATAGTGTTAGTGTGATAGTAATTTATTTGCATAATAACAGATTTTTTGAATAGTAAAATTTCATAACGACCACAATGATATTTTAGTGGTAATTACAGTAATTTCTTCTAAAAATTACAAGATATAAAAATAGGTTGACATTTTTAGAGCACTATTCAACATAAATTTTAATAACAAAACTAAAAAGTACTGTTAAGTATTAAACCATAACAATTTTAAACTTGCAAAACAAATACAATACAAATGAAATGATTTTAATTTACTTTTGTATATACAGTACCTTTTTTTCAACTTCAACCTTTTTGTTGTTGGTCTGTGTCGCCGGTTTTCTATTATGCTTCTGCAAAAAAATCAATAAATCAGATTTTATAAGTAATTATAATCAAATTAAACTACAAATCAATTGTATTCAATATAAATTTTACTTTTACTACAACCCTTAATAATCAGCCAATTTACAAAGTATAATATAAAGAGCGGCCTTTACTAAACCTGGAATTAAACAACAGAGAAAAAAACTAGGAGGCCTTCCACCAAAAAGGGTGCACTTTAGTAAATACCGTAAAACCTCAAATTGAAGCACATGGCTTCTTTTTTTGCGAACTTTGAATGGGCTTCATTTTGAGATGGGCTTCTTTTAGAGGCTCCTTTTGCAAAGTAAAGCGGGGGTGGGGGCTTCTTTTCAAATTGAATGCTGTAAATTTTTTAATTTGTACTATAAAATAATAAATAAGGCCACTGTAACATCAATCTGTATCATGAAGTTAAATGGCAACAAATCACCTAAACTACTGTATAAACCAAGCTTGTTTTTAATTTATTTTGTTTTCTGAAATTCATGTATAGTTTTTGTACTGTACTATCTCAAAAAGAAGCCTATCTTGAGATGGGCTTCTTTTCAAGGCTAATTTTGCAAACTAAAGAGGGGGCTTCATTTCGAGATGGGCTTCATCTCGAGCTTAAGCACACTGAGATTCAATTCGAGGTTTTACGGTACTGTATGTACAGAAAATGGTAAAGTTAATGCTCAATTTCAACAACTTTACTGGTCAAGACAGCCGTCCTTGTTGGAACTTGTTACATGCTGTTGGGGTTTGGCAAACTGTTGTACTTGGCACCTTTAAGTGCTTCATTTGGCTAGTAAAGAAGTAAACCACTACTGTACAGGTACATTGACTAAATTGCATTGCATATGAAATTAAATTTAGTTTGAAACAATACACAGTACTCTGAAATTACTTAGCTATTTCTTGGAAAAAAAAAAAAAAAATTAAATGCCAAAAGTCTATTCTCCATACTTAGATTTTAGTTTGGTTTGGCTTGTGAAAAATATTTTGTTTGGCCTTACTTTGCAAACTTAATTTGAACACACCTGATCATGAGATGACTTGGACAACACATTTAGAAATTCTGGATTATCATATTTCACTTTACAAACTTTAAAAAGTTTGTTTTCTTTCCCATTTCTCTTAAGCTTTTCCTTCAACAATTTTTCTTCTTTCCATTTTTTCAGTTTCTCTTCACGGCTATTGGGTGCATTTTTCTTTTTATCTGAAACAGACACACAATAGATAAATGAATTGGTAAATACAATTAAATACTCACACACTATTTATAATCTAGGCCCCTAAGCCTACATATTTATTGAATCTTAATCTAGGCCTAGGCCCTATGGCCAATAGGTAGCCTACATCATTTACGGCCAGTAATGGTATATCACTTTCTAAACTCTACTACATACTGCTGTAGGCCAGGCCTATAAAAAGTTACAGCCAGGCAGGCATTAAAAAAGAATAGGCCTAGGGGCCTAGTCCTAATAAACGCCGTGGTTATTGATCCTAATAATAACTAGGCCTAGCCTAACTAGTAGGCCCTAAGCCAAATAAAATTTTTAATTTCAGGAAATTTTTGAATTGTACAAACCAGTTTGTTTATTAGTTGAACCACGCTCCTTCAATGGAACCTCGGTTATTTTACTTTGAACCGTTTTACTGCTAGGCCTAGTAGTACTACTGTTTGCTCTCTTTGGTGGTGAATAAGTTTCTCCACGGCGGCACATATAAGACTTATCCCGCTGTGCTCTCTGGTCAATTGTGCGGCGGTGAGCTCGAAGAAGTCTTTTGTCGACAGAAATACCCCGTTTCTTATAATCTTGACTGTAGTCAGTAGGGGATCGTAACCTCAGTATACGATCCATGTCGATGTTATGCAACCTATACGCTCTATTCGGCCTATATTTATGTGATTAAACAAGTCACACTTGATAAATACCAATTCCAAAATAGGCCTCTAAGTAATGGGTTACGAGATCGGCATGCGATCCGAGTAGTAGTGCAAAGAGATGTTTTCAAAATAACCCCGTCTATCAATTCGATGACGTGATTGGTCGGTTGATAATTTTGATAGAGGGCGCAAAAAGGCAAATTTCAATTCTCAGACTAAACAGGGCTTGCCCGCGAGCTACACGGTTTAAACAGGGAGTTGTTATCTAATAACAACTCCCTGGTTTAAACATGGTATAAATAGATAAAAATACCCCAACCTGATAAAAACCAGGATTTTCACTGTTCTCTGTAAAAACTGAGAAAAAAACATTTGCAAATTAATTTTACAATAATTGAGTAAAAGTTAGTCACTTAGCGACTATAAGGTGCCATATGATATATTAATGGGCCTTTCTGTTTTCATTTTTGATCAGATGTTTTTTTGTTTAACTAATACCACTTTTACACTTCAAGTCGAAACAAACACCAGTGTGACACTGCAGCCAAAACACATTTATACTCAACGAAGAAACTGCGGGATGATCTAGGGTCAAACCCATTTACACTTGACAACGAACACCGACTGAACACCGGTTTTGAACTCTGGCCTCCATGGACATTTTTGAGGAAAACTAGATCATTAGTCTGCAATCAAATTTAGTTTCGCAGAGGTAAGACAATTTATTTGTACACTAAACACTGAATACATTTCTAAAAAAAATACAATCTAAAGCAATAAAATATAACATAACTTACATTATGTTTATGATACTAAATAGTTCAAAATCATATATATAGGCCTATATATATGTATAGTAATATATATATATATATATATATATATATATATATATAAATCAAGGTAGCCGTTAACACCTGTCTCTTATACACATCTAGATGTGTATAAGAGACAGGTGTAGAATTGAACAGTGCCGTCAT